TTACCTAACTTATTCAAACACTCTCGTAAATTAAAAGACGTTCGTTCATATCTGCTGAAAGTAAGTTTTACACAGGAAATTTTTATACTTAAAATTCTAAAATTACAACTGAAAAAAACAATGTTTTAGATTCACTCAATTAATTATACTTCGTTCTTTTCTTTCTTTTCGAGCATGTACAAATTATAATTAAAATTGAAGTTTGCAGACAAGAAAATTCTTACCTCTTACGGTGATTGGTGTTGCAGGCGTTGTTTCGTTTAGAATTTCGTAACCTTGTATTTCTGTAGATGATGTAGAAGATGAAGTAGAAGCTAGAAATTTTTTACAAAAGCTTTATGTAATACAACCAAATAATACCCATGAACCTCTTTCATTCATACTCTAAATTTACTTCGTAAACAAATATGAATTAATTTAAACTAGCATATCAACTAGAACAGTGGTCGCCAAACTTTTTGACCTCACAGACCAGTAAATTCATAATTTAAATCCCGCGGACCACTAATAGGAATTTTTAAGCGTTAAATGTATTTTAAAAAATCACGTGACCGATTTGCGTTTGCGTGTGGATTGCGGTGGAGGTCCGACTAGAGATGCTTTTACGGCGACGGTGATGCCCCGAGTGTCTAAAGTAAATACTTCTTCCCACGTGAATTGGTGGAAAAGAAACACTGTTGTATACGTGATATATCGATATAAAGACAATGATTATATTCTACGAGTTTTTATAACTTTTCACGTATTGCTATGAATTGAATTATGTTTCGATGCATCTTAAAACATAACTTAACGTGATGAGTAAGTATATCCCACATTTTTCTGGGGACCAGCGAAATTTTCTCGCGGACCACTACTTTGGCGACCTCTGAACTAGAATACTAATAGAATTTCTTTATAATTTCTGCGATTTTTCCAAGCTACATCACAATTATATTATGGTATTACTTATGTTTAATATTACTTCAAAATATAAATTATCAGTGCTTATACCTATAAATTTATCTTTGTACTTAAATACTAAAACTTTTCTTAAAAAACCAATAGTTGCCTAGTGACTTAGTCTATCGTTCTGTTTGTGCTTTAAATTATACACTATTAAAATTTCACCTGAGATATGAATTTAGCAAAATAAAAAACTTGTCCATATTTTTAAAAAAATTTTGTATTTTATACATTATTTGAACGTAAAATACATTAATCCACTACCGAAATATTTCGATTAATAAATCTTAATATATGTACTTTATTCAAATATCAAAAAATATATTTATTTTTTACATATACATGGATTTATTAACTTATATAAATATATATTTATATAGTTTTAACAAATCCATTTATACGTAAAAAATGAATGTGTGTGTGTAAAGTTGTGTAAAGATACACTGAAATTTGCGTTGCTATGTAATACGAAAAAATAGCTTCTCAACGACGGTCTAATTGCGTGGAAATACGAACGTGTCTTTTGTTTCGAATACACGTGGCACTTCAAAGTGAAAGTAACGATATCGAAAGTGTTTCTTATAAACGAATAATCCACGATTATCGATACGAGTATTCCAAGTGCATACTTGCGAGAAATGTGCATGGATAATACGTCGATGTGTTATTTTAATTTTGTTTATATCGACATGATCTTTTGTAAATGAGAAACTTCGCAAAACACACGTGTTTTTTAATGGCGGGGTGACGGAAACAAAGCTGAGATGGTAAATAAAAGAATTTTCAGAAAATAACATTTTTTGCTTAAAATTGTACCATTTTGTTTTAAAAACATGCTAATTTTTTGGTTTTTTACTGATGTTTTCATTTTCCATTTTTGCTGATTTACCAAAACATGTAGCAGATCATGTATTGTATAAAAAATATATTAATTTATATATTTATTCAGTAAATGCATTTTTGACAACATTCGCAAACTTCTATATAAAGTTAGAAATACCTTGTTTGGAAACTATCCTAAGACCCGAAACATTACCTTGTATCGCAAAGACGTCAGCAAAATGTGATCTCTTAAAGACTTCTTACAGGAGAGATAACAAAAACAAGTGCAAGAACCCTTTAACCAACATCTCACACGTCTATTCCCATTTTTTCCCAATTTAATCGAAAACTTTGTGTGCCATTGTACCGTTATTCTTTGAGTCCACCTGTCACACAGACTGCTCCAATCATTGCGGCAGAAGTGCACTTTCAAACGTTTATTTTCCTCCCTAAAAAGTTTTCTAGACATATATCTGGTTATCACATGCTTAACCTTTATGGCATGCATTGCATTCAACAAATCATTACATTCACCGAACTTTTTAGACACACCATGTATGGGTAGGCTACTTATTAACCGGATATATTAACTTCGATGGATAAATTCACCAGAAGGCAATAATTATTATTCGTTTATTTGTTATTTTCAATATCTATCATTTATTATTACTGAACATTATATTACATTCTTATTTACATCTTATTGTAGCTACAATTCGGCCATTTGTTATATCTTAATCTCGTCGTCTTATCCTCGGCTGTATATTTCGCTTCTCTTCCGTTGTGCCCTTGAAAATGTTTATTTTAAAAAAGCAGAAAAGAAAGGCCTAAAAATTGAAATAATGTTTAATAGTAAAACATTTTAAAATGCCTGAATTTCCTTACGCATATAAAACAATTTATTGCGGTACAAAGGCTTAAAATATTTTGTAAACCCATCTGCCGAAATTATTTATGCTAGCAACACAACTATAATAACCGATGTAGCATAATTGGTTTACATGCGTTCCATTCGCTAAACGACTGTTAACTGATAATCAGTTAACTTTAATGGCCAACTTTCAGCAATTGACAAGAAGAATTACTACGAAAATTGCAGTTCAGCCACAATCCGCTACAGTTTGCCTTTATCATCAGTTTGAAATAGAGGGGTTCCATAATACCATTTTCTTCTCTATACATATATGTTAAATATTTTTTTAATTTAGAAAAACTACGATTTTATCGCACATACAAAATGGAGGAGTGGATATTTTATTGTATTGTTATGCACAACAAACGTATCAAAACTATATGAATACATTTTTGTAAACGAATTATATTTTCAATAATTTACCTGAATTATAAACAAGTGCAAATATATTAATTTTAAAAAAGACAAAAAACTACATACCACAAGTACATTGGATTACGAGGTCATGTTTATAGCAAATTTCGGACTTCCCTTCTTTCCCAGTTTGAAAACAATCGAGAACGTTTTCGATAGTACACTCATCCGATTTTGATTTACCATTATCGAGGGTTTCAGGTCCGCTGCAATCAACTTTAGTAATGAACTCTCTAGCACAATGCACTTTGTCAGCAAAATCGAGCGCCGTTGCGTTAACCTCGAAGGATTGTGTGCCATCCTCACATTCCGTTACACATTCCGTACAATTCTGGAATTGCATGTCGCGACAAGTGCTGAAAGAAGAAATTTACGAACGATTATGGTAAAAAAATCAACAGCTGAAAAATTAACAAAAGTGTACTTCGAACCAGTTTTTGCAAAATGTGACCACGTCGAAGGGAATAATTTCCTCTTCCTCGTACTCAGTTCCATTTACGATACATTTACCACGCTTTTTGCAGTCGTCCTTACTGATGCAAGTTCGGTTGCTGTAACTGACTCTGACTTTTCCGTCCGGACAATGCGCTTTTTCCGTACCCTCGACGGGCGGTAAATACTTGCAGTAATTTTTGATGGTGGCCTCCGACTCGCAGACGTCTTCGGGACAGACGGATATTCTTCCGGTGTAGTTGCACACGTCAACGTTTTCCAGGGCTACAAAAAAGTGATTAGTTTATCCACACAAAACGTACAATTTAAAACATTACGACCTTGAATCGTTGTGATTAGAAAACTAATTTGTAGTAAAAGTTAAATTATTAAAGAAATTTCGGGTGTAAAACTGCCTGATATTTTGCCAAACTACAAATTAACTAATAAAAATTTATTATACATTTTTATTAGTAACTATACCTCGTATACGCTTAATTCATAATCATTTATTTCGGTTTTTGACAACAGACGTTATAAAGAATATCGGTTACCGAATGGAGAACAATTTTTTTTTAAATCGCGCTTTCGTAGATAAATGTTTAAATACTTTATTAATAGCAGTGCGAAGCAAATAACGCCCACCTGAAATAAGTAACCGCAGAGAAAGTATGCGTTACTAAATCGTCGCCGCGACTTCTATTCGAATTAAAACATTAGTTTATTCAGATAGGTTGTGTTCGAACAATGAACTTAGCTGCGAATGTTTGCTTGAATCGTCTAGCCAAATGTCTTCAAACTGGCAAAACGTTCATTTATAAACTTTTTAATATAAAATATGTCCGGTTTCTATGAAAACGGAAATCGGTTCTTCAGTTTAGTATTTCACGAGTTTTCGTATATTATATATTCGGGTATCGTTTGTCGAACCTTACAATTACTTCGCGAGAAATACAACACGTGGTGATACACGTGCACAGACAAACGCTACGTATAATGACGTGATGTGTTAACTTAAAAACACTGTATTCGATTCTTGTTATTATAACAATGCGCTAAATATTGCACTTACGACAAAATGTTGAATTTCTCCAGTTCATTTCTATTCCCATGTCGCTGCAAATATCGGCAATAACTGATATGGTGTGACAATGACATTTACAAAAATCCGTGGTTGAGCATATTCCAGCATCTTTTTCGCATCTGAAAAATAAAATAAAATACGCATTTTAGTTTTAATTCTTTCGGAAACTTTCTTCTTATATCCAAATGAAAGCGTTGAAATTAAATAGAAAAAAATACCTAGCCTTAATAAGGATTTTCATTTGGTAAACTTTTTTTTTACGGTACCTTGCCAATTATTGGACTCGTGCGAAATATTGAGGCAATTGTTCTTAGAATGATTTCAAATATTTTTGTTTATTATGTTTTTTGACCACTCTTAACGCTTCATACATTTTTTTAAATTTGTGTTCTCAACAATTCGCTACGATGCCATGTTTTAGTAAGAATGTTTGTCAATTTTCTTATGTAGTAGAAAGTTGATTTTTCTTCTGTTTACACGATTGCCATGTAAAAAATTTTTACAAGGGTTTCTAATATAATAAAGAACAAAAATTACATAAAGTTTCACTCCTTAAACAATATTATAAAAAAACAGAGACGAAAATAGTACAAATGTATGATTTTCATTAATTCATTCCAATAATTTGTCCAGGTACTGTAACTCTATAAAATGTAAAGACACTCCACGCCGAGGAACAATTCAGAATTAACGACACAACTTCCCTTCGAGGTTACAGAAAGAATATAAGCGAGTATTTTTGACAGTATATAACCGTCCTCTGCAGGTAGTATTATTTTACACAGAAAACAGAATTGTACTTTCTAGAAAATGAAAAACCATTCTAACAGTCTGCATCGGGTGTGTTCGGCCATACCTGATATACACTTTTAGCCAATCGTTATGAAATTAAATCGTGGTTTCAATACAACAATTGACAGATTAAATGTAAATAAAAAATGCAAAATATTTCACTTAAACTTAAGAAACGTGTAAAAATTACCGAACAATTCTTCTTATAAACTCCGTACAACTTCCAAATATTTCAAGCATCAACTATTCGTAAATTCACATTATTCCGCTGCTGCCAATTTCCCATACACCACACACCCGTAATGATATTAATATTGTTATACTTACATTCCCTTTAAATCGCCGAACTTGGGTAAGTTCTTTTCGCAATCTTGGAATATTTTTTCATCTAATATTCGACATTGCTCCCTTGTAGATTTTCTCGTAATTTCGATATTATCTTCGTCGCTGTAAGTTTTAGACACGCGTATACAGTCGGCATCTTTCTTAATTGTTTTGCCGGTACACAGTCCACTTACCTAAAATATAAGTAAGAAATAAACATTTGAATAAATTCGACAGAAACTTTTCGTTTTTCGGTATATTTACCGTGTCAGTTTTCAGATTTTCAGATACATAAATGTAAACTCTTGTTCCTCTATCCCAGGCAAGTATTATTTGTTTGTCACTGTGTACAACTATCCATATTCCTTTTTCATACACAGTAAAATGCTCTCTTTTCTGTTCTGTCGAATTTAAATATTTTGGAAGATGCACCGTTTCGTTTTCTGAAAAAAAACCCCATATGTAATATCGTTTTTGTCACCAGATAACTAAATTTGGCACTGAAAAATAACTTTAATTTATAAAAGCACACAGCTAACGATTCTACCGTTAACATATTTTTATTGCGTGGATTAAATTTTTTAAGTTGCTTACGTTTCTTCTTACATCACCTTCTCTTTCAAGTTTTACGAAATGATTATTAATTAGTTTCAGCAACCTGTTTTTCGTTTTTATATTGTTGAAAAAGTAAAAAAAGAACTATAGTAATGTTTTAAATAGAATTTTACGTTCAGGTACGTTTATATAAATTATATAGAGATTATTTTTGAAATTTATGTTACGTGTATTATCGTTTCACGTAGTTCTTTCATTAAAAATGTGATTGTTCTGTACAAAATGAAGTTGGAATATTCTCGAAAATCATTTGCTAGAATATTCTCGGAAGTTTTCAATTATTTAAAACGCGGTGCGTTTCTGATTTCTCTAAACTTCGTCTGTGCCGAAAAACAAAATTATTGATATTTATGAAAAGTGTTAGAAACAAATAGAAAAATACATTCGCTCTAAACCAGTGTTTGTCAACCTTCTTGAATACGCGACCCTTTTACAACTTTAAAATATTTTGGCGACCCCCAGGGCCATATTAAAACTATGTCAGTGATTTTAAAAACTACGTATTTAATTTTTTTTCTGCTGAGACCTAAATATCGATCGAAAAACCAATTGTACTTTAAAATAAACAGGCACAGCCTTCTCAATGGAATTGTAGGTTTTTTTATTGTAGTGTAAAACCTACAAACACTTGTCTTTTTTTTTCACCCGCGACCCCTGTGTAAAACTTTGCGACCGCCTTGGGGGTCGCGATCCACAGGTTGATAAACACTGCTCTAAACAGTAGGACAACGTATTCGTTTATGACCGAGATACATTACATAGAACTAAGGTGTTTGCCTTTTTTCTGTCACCGAAATTAATGACACTAATGGCCGCTGTGCGTTGAACATTTTTACGTTTTTTGGGCAGGTCCTAATTGAAAATAACGTTCTACTTTTTCTAACGAAGTGGAAGAAATCGCATAAACTCTATATAATTTAAATAATTTTCAAAATTTTCAATTTATTATCAACGCCGTTATCGTCTAAACTTTTTAATTTTTATAGTCCCGTAAACCGTTGCACACATTAATAAATCAAATATACAAAAGTCAATACAGACGTCAAAGCAAAATCAATAGTATAAACAAAAGAAGTCGTGATTTGATTACATAAATCTAAAAAATTACCCAAAGGTCTATTGTCAAAGAGTAGGCGACGGGCAACCTCTAAACGAATCGAAGAATTTTTCTTTTTAATAAGTAAACAGTTATAAAGCTTCAGATAGTTGAGAAATCTTATCGACAAAATAAATTCCTACACTGCAAAAATAACATCGTTATTCTAATTTTCTACAAATATTTCTTGTGTGACGTTTTCTAAACGACATGACCACGAAGTGAATTTGGTTTCTTGCATTTGAATAAATAATATTTACCGATGTTCAAAGTTTTCATTTGTCCATTTTATAATTAAACGGACTGTCTACAGTCAATGTAAATTGATCGGATTAGAACAGCGTTTCTCGACCTTTTAAGCCCAAGAACCAATAAAACGCATGAAAATTTCTACGACACTAAGCTACGAGGGCCTAATTTTTAATACAGTACCTGTGTAGATATTATCGATATTTAGGACATACTGTGCCGTTTATAACGTTATACGTACGAAAAGATAATTAATTAAACTAAGAGTTATTCATTAAATGAGAATCGTCATTGGACATAGTTGTAATGTTCATTAAGTTAAATCTGCCTTCGGGCACTTGTCCAGTGGCAGCTGACCACAGATTAAGAAAGGCGCCATTAAAATATGAAATATTCCTTACCTACTTCAAATTCCACTTCGATGCTGCAGACAATATCGCTCTTTGGACAACGAATATTTTTATAAGCAATAGAATATTTGTCATGTTTCAGCAAATAATAGAAGCATGTCGACTTATCGAATATTGGCAACTCTTTGTCGAAGGTTAAAATATGTTCTTGACCCCAAACCCTGCACAGTTTGTTAAAACAAACGGTCTCGGAATACTCGTCGGTCACGTCTTTTACCGAAACGCCCATACTCTTATCTTCACTGCACTTCCTACAAAAGAAACGACAAATTGTAATTAAGATAAACCCGAGTATCAAGACGCCGCACTTACCACTCATAGAAATTTCTATAGGCTAAACAACCACAACGCATTCCACCTCCTAAGTTTAAACTCTCCGAGTTTACCGAAAAAAATATTTTCTTCGTGCGCCATTAAAGATCTAATTCCGTCATCAATATATCCTTTCGACGTCAGTCTTCCGCCGTTACCGATATTGGAGAAGTTTTAGTGGAAAGGTTTGCCTACGGAGAAGATTTTTCGTAGAATGCAGTCAGTCACGGGATCTCCAATAATACTGGGAAATCCCGTTAAACAGGTATGATATGTTAATTCATCAATTCGCGTACACGCGCAACCTCCTACCCTAATCCGTGTATATAGCTTTTGTAAAGATGGCGTCATTCCACGGGTCGTCTTTCTTGTAAAAGGTGAAAAATGTGTATACGTAAATAGTCTATAGGGAATTTCATTACAAAATATAACAAGTTTAAAAATGTGTTTCGTAAAATTTATTTTCGAAATTCGTTTATAGGCCTATTAATTTATAAATGAAAGTACCTACTTTCAGAATAAAATATTAAAGAATATTTTTGAATACCGCGTAACTGGGAAATTCTATGGCGAAAAAAGGATATTTTAACGCATTTTTAAGACCGCATTAAACAGAATTCTTGCAACTCGAGTACCGTATATATCGAGAGTTAGGTATGTAGAAAAAACACGAAATTGTAATCTCTAATAGAATGTATTATTGCTCGACTGCGATTTAAATAAAATTAATTGCTTAAATACTGTATTGTATATTTCCTAATTATTTATTCGACAAAAAATAATTACCATATTTGGCAGTCGGAATGTCTATAAATCGTATCTTCCCGCTGCAGCTTCCTTCCGTAGAACATGCAACCCGTACATTTGGTTGGTGGTAAACATTTCTTAGTTTCCCTATCCATGGAATACGTACCGTTACATCTGCCGGGGAAAACAATTGATATAAATTTCGAGTACAAGATATAAGTTAAATAACATTTTTCAGTGATCCGGGATATTTCAGACTTTTGGAATTTCTACACTTTCCATCACTCCATAACCGAAACTGTTTCAGACGTACAGTGTACAGCACTTTATGTTTAAATCCTGTGATAAAATAGCGAAAACTCAAATCGTAATCAATTTTAATACGATCAACATTCTACGAACAAAATGAGGTGGGGGAATTCGGACTTTTCGTTATAAAGAGTTACGGAGTTTGGGCTAAAAATCAAGATTATGCGCACGATATTTCCTTCGGTCTTACTACGTAAAATCGTTGTGTTGACGTAAACCTCTCGTTGTTGTATCCAGAAACTCTAAATCGTTTCATCCAATGCTTAAAATAAGCAAGGAAGAAATTCTTTCGGGATAGTCGATCCGTTTATTCCTAAGTGTTTAGTAAGAAATTATTTAAAGTGCCTATAATCGATCTGTTTATTTAATTAAATTTTTATCACAAACGTACCCCTCTTTACTATTGCTATAAATTTTAAAATTTCGCTTAAAAAATTAAAATTTTTACATAAAATTTTCCTATATCGTTTCCTTAAATTAATTTATCAAACCTGCATTTATTAATTACGTAGGCTAGTCGAAATCCATCGGAAATCCAATAAAATACAAAGAAAAATACAGTATTGGAAAAAGTGGATTTCAATGGCAGTTACGTTATTGGGGAGAAAAGCTCTCTACGGAAGCCCACCGTCCCACCAGCACATTTTTTTTCAGTCGTACGTTATTCCCGCGCTTTATAGTGTCTGATTAGTTTGTTAAATCATTAATTCATTCATTTATATTAAAATTCCGGAATGTTTATACAACTCAATACAATGTAAATTTTTCCGTTCGAGCTAACCACTTTGATGAAACGTGTACTTTGATTTCTGATTTAACCTTATACTAAGCTATCGAAAAACAAATTATTTCGATTTATCCCGGTTCGAATTAAGCGGGTTTCAATGTATTTATTAATTTTACTAAATGCTTCTAACGATTTAAATATACCTTAAATTTAACATAACATCGAAAGTGTCATTCTTCCATTTAATATTTTATTCGCGTTTTTCTCAATGACCGAGAAGTCCTCCGAACTTTTGGTTTGAAAATCATAACAATGACTATAAATCCAATAAACACAACGGATTCAGTATAACAAATCCGACAGATAGGGTTATTTTAGACGCTGTTGCTCTATGAAAAATAGGAAAAGACTAGTTAATATTCACTATTCGAATGATAACGTTGGATTCGTCAGCCGTAGACTGGCTAATTGAATCAATAAGTAATAATTAATTCGTACTAAAAGTAGGAATTACGTCGTCATCCTGTCTCATATTAGATAATTACGATTTAAATCTTTTTTGAAAATTCAAAATACGCAAGTACAGTACATAACTCCTATTTAACGTGCGGTCGAAGGCCAATTTGCTACCCGACTTTCGTCCAAACTTCTTTTCGATACACCCTGGCAGCGCCCACTGGGGAAGAATATCTAACCAGTCCTACCTTTATAATAACCTTTAGTCCAAGTTACTCGATGTGTATACATTTAATTAATAAAACGTTAATGTTCAATAAACATTTCTTAGCATCAAGTATTGATGGTTCAATAAGTATTTTAAATTAACCAATTCGTAACTCGACCAATCCGGCGTTTTCGACTGATTATTAAAATTCAATTTAGAAACTACTTTTTGTTGACGACAGAAGAATATTCGACATATATCGATAAGACAGAGGCTACGATGGTCACTTCACCCACCGGAGAAATATCCGTTTCGCGCTTGTTACATTGTTCGAATTTAAATTAGCTTTTAACAGAAAAAAATAATAAAATGTTCATATCGAACCTGCAAGGTTCCCTCATACATTCCTCGGTGGTTGCAACTCCGAAGCAATAAAGATATTTAAGTTCCTCGCTTCCGCAACTGGTTGAATTGTTCGGAATTTTCATGTCGTCGTTACACTTGGCTGCATCAGCAAAAGCCACCACACTTTGCTTCTCGCCGACACACTCCCAACGCTCCGCTAGACATATACTAAAAAATAATTTACAATTTTATAATTCGTGTCGTACACAAAAGTATTACATAATTTACAGTATGTTAGGAAAAAAAGTGATTACAGGTAATACATTTCATACTAATTGACTACTTAATACTTTTTGTTGTGCATTATTTAAACGTACGGTTGGCCATAATGATAAAAGTTATCATTCCAACGAACCTCAATATTACGCTTTTATTTCACGTTGAAAAAATTACTGATCCAATAATTTGATAGCCTACCGCATTTTTAAATAATAAGGTTATGTAATATAAATTTAATTAGCCTATTAATGTAATTAACCTAATTTCAAATTTTCATATAATATTTAATTAGCAAATAATTAATAAATTATATATATAATATTATTAAAACCGTCATAACTTTCGAAAATTCAATAAAAAGTTGTAAAATTAACATTTAGTAACTCGCAAAAATATTTCGAATTGAATTCACGTGACTTCCTTTCCATATCGGAATTTCGTATATAATTATTCGGGACTTCCTGCTCGTAAACTTTCTCTATCTGGTCTCGAGTTTCACTATCGAACTCCGTTCTCTAGATTAAAGAAGGTCGGACAGACAGCGCCAGTGACAATTTATAGGACTACAATTGGAAAACTGAGGCCGAACAAATATACTATTAGAGTATTTATTAGTATACTAACGGATGAGCCTTGCGTTGCTCAGGCAAGTAAGTTAATTTTCATTATAACGGAAAATGAACTTACTTGATGATAATCTCACTTGAATAAAATGATGAACTTTAAATTCTAAAATCTAACAATACCTGTTTGGAACATTATATTTCGAATTTGGAAAGAATTCAAATATTCGTTCGAATTCGTTTATTTTGAGTTTATTGTTTTTGGGTTATTTGAACAGTGAAAATGATTAAAATATTTATTAATTTGCAAAACGTATACTATATGTGCCACTATTTACATTTCTTCTTTATTATTTACACTTTATACTGACTAAAACTAACTCTCTCCTCCTCCCTGAGAGAGTTGAATTTCGAAACATCCCTTCTTAATGTGCGTTTCATGGCATACCCTACTAAAACGCAGTTAAAAATAAAAACTCGCATCTAAAATAATACAGTACAAGCTGTTTTTTGGGATAAACCTTAATCCTTGCTCTTTCTCCCCCGCGAGGGGGAATTTCGAAAAATCCCGTCTCAATGTACTTTCTAGTAATGTACAGTACCTTCAATGTGTACCAATTTCAACTTTCAGCTACTAATCGTTTGGATTCTGCGCTTATTATTATTAATATGTTGGGTTTAATGGGTTATACTCGGTTGACACCGGTGACTGTGTACTAAGCAGTACCAGAGTCAAGGCATAGCAACCAAAACAAAACTAAAATTAAAAATCTGTGACAGTGCATGTGTTCAGGAATTTCCTAACAACGTGGCATGTATTTAATATAGTGACCTTCTGTAGTGTAATGTATGTATTTCTATTTAATTGTAATGTTCCCAGGCTTTTGTGTAGTGTGTGTGGTATCACACCTGTATAGGAGAGAACGAAAGTTACAATAAGCACCCTATCCATCCTTTACAGATACCTTATTTTCTGGACAAGTTCTATGTACTTGCTGATTTTTTCAGTGCATGTGTTTTGTACATTGTGAGTGTTTGGAACGGCTATGTCTATAATGTATGTGATTTTATTGTCTTTGTCAATGATTATTATCATTATCATTATCATTATCATTATCAACCCAGTTTGATTATATTAGAAGTTTATTTAGTATTATGTGTATACACCAAATACGCAAAGTAAGATTTAAAAAAATCTTGCTGGAGTATGAAAAAACGTAAACCTGTTAAATATATTTTTTTAATATCCTGATATTTATGAAGAGGATTAATCACCCTGTGAAACAAAATATTTTTTCCGACGATTCGTAGAAAAGTATAGTCGATAGAGCCGAAATTTTCGCCAGTTTTTGGGCTTAAAATCTCGGCGAAAATCGCCAATTTTTTGCTTTAAATTCGCCAAAAAAATTGCCAGTAATTTATTTCAAAAACGAGTTAAAACGAATTACACTTACATATGTCAAATAATTCTCGCTTAAACTATGACGTCGATCGCACAGTATCGATGAATATAATGAGAACGAATGTTCAACGTCGACTGCAACTAAAGGAGCGTATTCGCTATTAACTTTATCACTTAAATTCGTAAATTTGATAAGATCAGGATTGCTTGACAAAACTTTTTCCAATTTTTGAGAAAATATAGGATAACCAGAAACAATTTCTTTTTCATTTTCAATTAGTTTGGCTTGTTTAGTTACACCGAGTCCTTGTTCATCCAGAGATGTTATAATTTTTGATAGCTTGACAAGATTACGGAATGCAAATGATTTTTTCTTGGGGTTAACTTTCTTCTCTTGCAATAGTTTCACCAAAACATTTCTAGCATTTGAATGAGATTTTCGTTTATAGTTCAAAATGAAGCGCTCAACAGTATTAAAATTATCGACATAGTATTTTGCAGCGTTTAACCAAGACTCCCAGGTAGTGACAATTGGTTCTGGAGGAAAATTACTAACTCCAGTTGCATTCTTAAATAATTTTGTCTTTCTCTTGATTTCACAAAAAACTTCTTTATTTCTGATATAAGCGAGTTTGATAATTTGTACTCATTTTGAATCGTAAATGCAACGTTATGTAAGGCGTGAGCGAGACACGTGACTTGATATACATTTGGAAAAATCAATGAATTTTTCTTAATATCACTTACTGCCTTCGTCGTGTATTTTGTTAGAGCTGTCACTATTAACGTCAGTTTTGAATATTTTAAATCATTTGGCCACAATTTTCTAGACACGTTGAGTATACATTCTTGTATTATAATGTCAACTATTCAGAGAAATGTCACATAAATTAACATTGATTTCGCTTTCTCGCCATTCGATTTTCCTACAAGCACGTCGACCACTTTACATTGCATTTTGTCACTAGTTTGGTCAACGATGAAATAGACATCGCGTCCATTAATTTCGTCTTTAATTCTTTCTGTTATTGAGTTGAACGTAGTTTTTTGATGCGCCGGCAGTGCTAATAAAATAAATAACGCAACGAGACTTGAAATAAAATCATATATCAGCAAAATTATGAGCACAATCGCGAACAGCAGCATCAATTTCAATAAAATAAACGTTTCATTAAAAAAACTAATTACAATAAAAAATACCTGGAACACTTTTGATCGGCTTTTTCATATATTTCTCGAGAAACAATCTCAGTTTTTCGTTATTTACTCTTTCAAGCGGAATATCTGCACCGGTGAATGCTTCAACTATTTCTTTATCAAAATCGCTTCAATTTCCAAACAACAGTGTTTGTGACTTTAGTGTGTTGTGTTTCTTGTTTTTTTGCACTGTTGAGATGTTCCGAAAGTCGTTTCTTCATTGTATCACGCTCGTAGTTACGTGTGCGGAGCACTTAAAACAGAGAACTGTTTTTTGGTACGACGAAATATATTGTCACCTAATTCCTTAATCACGGAATCAATTTTAAACTCAATTGACTGTTTCATGGACATTTTTGCACGAATCACACGGGAAACTGACGATTTTGCCAGCTATCGCCAAATTCTTCAGTTAGGGAAAAAATCGTCGATTTTCGCCCAAAAAAACTTCGTGATATTAAGACCGGATTTTTAAATTAGTACTAATAGATAGATGCTCATTCCAGGCGAATATAACTGAAAAATTCGCCAAATGCGAAAATTTTCGGCTGTAATAATCGGACGTAATTAAAAAAACAAAATTTAAAAATTTTTCTGCTTTATTATTTCTTCTTTTACGAGTTCCAATGATTCGAACTCTCTTCCTTTTGAAGGTTAATCGACGTCGAGTACAGAAAATATCGTTACATGTCACTGCGGGGGAATAAATTGGTTCACGCTCTTTCAAGTTTCGCTTGAAAGAGCGTTAACCAATTTAAACTTGTCTGGCATTGTCGTGATAGTCGCAATTTTTCTGGTGTTTTGGGGAAATTGCGTTTATTCTCCGTAAAATATTAATATAAACATGCTGAATAATTATGCTATTATAGTTTTTTCTTAAATTAGTAATTTTACACGTATTGGTTAGCCGGACGTTTAAAGATCGATATTTGATGTCATGTTTTATTTTCGAACACAGCGGTAACCTTACGATGATGCCTAAAAGTTGTTGAAAACAAGTTTCTTGGTAATTACTACACGCTTTTACTGGACTTTTGTGTAATTTTCTGAAAATCGAAACTATTACACCGCGCAGAGGCATAGTTTTGTCATTGCTATGACGTAAAAGCGTGAAATCGAACACGTTTGTATTAGAAAATTTTGTTTTTTGCTATATGTTATTTTACTTGCCCATACGTGCAGTTTTCGATTTTACGTCTATATCCTGTATGTTGTTTCGACTGTAAAAATTTTAACAGCGTGATAACAGTAATATTATTGTAATTTACTGCATACCTTTTAAAACTAGAATAATTTAATCTATATTATGACTAATTTTTTTACTAAAACAATTCCATTCAAATCCAAAACAAATATTTGTGGCCAAAAGTGTATTCACGCCTATGACCTGGCTAAAATAAGAAATAATATTTCAGCATACGTTCTTTGATTTAATGTAACTTTTCAAAAAAACACACGGTGGATTCCATATATTTTTTGCACTTTTTATATTCTAAACTCGTTGAAATTTTATGTAATAAAGTTTGGAAAACGAAATGTTGTGACGAAGATCTAGTTAGATTATTCTTTAAATTGATTACCAAATTACTTAATCAAAAAATCAATTTCTACGTCATATGTTTAAAGAAAGAAAATATAGGTCTATTTGACGGATAAAAGACATGTTACAATATATGAAACGGAATCTTACCACGAAGCACCTTCCACTTTAATAGATTCACCCTCGTGATACTGTTTTCCGTTATAAAGACACGGACACTGTTGAAATGGAATGCACGTTCCGTTCACGTTCAACGTATTGCCTTTTGGACAAGTGCATCCCTGTACGCACTTTTTGGTACAGGCACGTACGGCTTTCGACATGGCTAGCGACGTGCAACTATACTCACAAGGATCTGTACAATCGTCGAAGGTCTGACGTAAATGACATTGTGAGGCTAAATGTGAAAATAAAACGGCATTGTTAATTATACTCTTTTAACTTTTAAAATTTGTTAGTAATAATAATATAGCGTCTAATTTGTGTATTTTTATAAGCATATAATTAATCACGTTTCAGATAAACCGTTATATCGAGTTTACAACGATTCGATGCTTTTGTTATCCGTATTATATCGAATTACGAAAGAATGAAAACGCCAATGCTGGTACATTAACAAATTCAAATAACTAAAATCAAATCTGTCTAATACGAAAAAATGGTTGAAAATCGTAATTTTTTCAGTCGTAATTTTTTTACAAATAAATGGAGGTCGTGCCAATCGCTCGCAATGTCTGCGATGCGGTGGGCCCAGAAATGTTTCAGGCTAACAAATACAAGAAGTATAAGTTTATAATAAAATATATTTGTCACTAAAAACAAAAACAATACAAAATCTCATACTAAAGCTATTTTACTAGTTGTTAGTGTATTTTCTTGCGTTGCTAACCAATATAAACATATCATTATATTAAATCATTAAGATTTGTTTGTAGATATGCAACACGTGAAAGTTGGGCCCTTCAAAAATTTTGTAACGGCTTACAGTTTACTTTTTATTAATAGTCCAGAATTTTCAAGGAAACAGTATTATCTTTTATATTAATAAATTATTTTACTCTTCTGAAATATCTATAATTTACTGAAATAATATATAAAATTACTTGGATTTTCATAAATGTACATAATATTCGTTTTCCTGTATGAAAACAGAACCGTAGAATTATTCATGGAAGAAAATTTATATTTTTGCTAAACCTAGCATTAATGGGTATAATAACTAGGTAACTATTACGAAATGTTAAAACAGCATTATATTATCTAGTTGCAAATAGTTACACATATCTATTGTGTAGTATAACATAATACTGCAAATGTACCTAGTTGATACGCAGGTATACTCGAAAGTTCTGTAGTAAACTGCTCATTCCGATGTTGGCGATGCTGCGCGCTGTTCTAGTTTGAAAGTATTATATCGCAATTACGTGTGCAGTATGCCTGAAATCTTTGACTCGGCACCTAGAAAACACGGCATTCGAATTTCCACATAACGAAGATCGGAATAGGACTCGGATTTCTCGAGAATCGACGACGGTGTGAGAAACATAAATAGAAGTGATCGGAAATCAATGTGCTGATCGTAAATGCTTCCGTGAAACGAAATTTATGCACCATGGTGAAGAAACACAATTTATAAAATGCAATAAAACCACATAAATGGAGTAGTTTGATAAAGCGCGATATCGCCATCGTTTTCGCTAGATAAAACCATATTGCACTTGTCGGTCACAATCATGAAGCAGCCTTATTAACAACGCTTATATTCTAAGCGCGAGGAGAATATGAGGGCAGGCGTTGCGACGTGTTCCAATCTACAGCGGTGTATATTGGAACACGTGGTATAACAAATTAGCATAGAAAATGACTACTTTAGCCCAGCTCTCGGTACAGGTTTTAAAACACCGACATCGAAAATATCTATTATTTTGTAAAAATGTGAAACTTTTTCTTTGAACCCTATTTGTGAAATTCGGTGTAATTATTACTTTCGACAAGAGCGCTTTAATGTACAGTTCTCGAGTGTTTCAACAATACATGTGACATAATAAACACATCTTACTGTCATTTCACACACCTCATCTAATGACAAATATTATAAACAATTATTGGAAAATTCATTTTGTACTTATAAACTATAAATTTACCTACTACAAAGATATAGAAGTTAATTTCATTCATGGTAACAGGGTTTGAAACTATTCAAATGACCAAGTTAAAATGTTAATACAGAAACCAAGTTAACTATTTTCAAAGGAAAAAAATTTGAATTCAAATAACATGACTTCCGATTTGCATCGAAACTTTATATATATAGTTAATATAAACTTTCGATACAAACATATACACAGTGTATCAGAATGACGTTTTAAAAATTTGGAGGATTGTACAGGATGAAATTTTGAACGTTTCGATATAAGGAACCCATAGCCGGAAATGTGATATAAAGATTTTACAGCACTTTGCACTTTGCAGTCGGTATGCTGAATGAAACAGCAGAATACAGTATTTATGACAAGTTTTATTGACAAAATAGTAGAGTATAATCAAACTGTACACCGAATCAGTCGTCACATTGAACATTTACTTTAGAGTAAATGTTCAATGTGACGACCACCAACTTCGTTACATAACGTGCAACGACGAACCATGTTTTGTCCGACTCTCTGTAAGATGACACGCTCTCCTCTGATGGTATTAAATGCTGTAAATATGCTCTCCGTAAGCTCATGAACTGTTCCTATAGGTGTTGCGTACACAAGGAACTTTACATAACCTCAGAGGAAGAAATCAAGAACAATAACACGACGTCAATGGACGGAAGGGTAGCTACCAAAGTGAAGGGCGGTCAAGCACTTCCTACCGCTGTAGAAACTTTATATCACATTTCCGGTTATGGAACGTACAAAATCAAAACGTTCAAAATTTCATCCTCTACAATCTCCAAAATGTTTAAAACGTCATTCTGATACACTCTGTATATAAACTATAGATGCTTTACACGTGTGATTTCGACGTTCATTTATCTAACTTTGTTATCAAGATTAAGGAAATAGAGGCAGACATCCTGACGGACGGTCAAACGAACGATGGCGATAGTTTATAAATCTACGATTTTTTCAAACTACTGCCTATTAAGCAGACTATTCCACAGAACGGGAGCTGAAAAAGTGATTGTTCGTGCCTGGATCTAGAACATTAGTCGTGATGTTATTCGAAGCCTTATTGACAGCAGACTGCAAACTTTGGGCTGTCGTTAATGCCAAAAAGGTGGTGTTACGAAATACGGATAAATACAACGTATACATTAATTAATCCTATCCTGATTTATAAATATTTATCTACTCTTTTTATGTATATCAGCGCTCTAGAAACGTATACTCAGACAGATTTATCAATATATATCTTAGAACATCGTATTGTATACGCCTGTCACTTAAAAATAAATTTTGTAACTCTTACTTTTCTTTTATATTTATCACTACTTATCGGTAATACATTAAACCCTTTTATACATTGCATCTAAAATACTACGGTTACATTCTGCTGATTCGTATAAAGTCAGCAACCCGCAATACTTTACAACCGCAATGTAAACATTACGGTAGAAAGCCTAGTTCTTGACTTTTCTCTGCTACAATTGGTTGCTAAAAATGGTAAAATTATGGTATAAAATTTTAATAAATAATTGTTTCCTTTTCTGTAGGAAAGTCAATTTTCGTCGTAACGTTTAAAAGTTGTTACAGGAATAAACATAACTTCCTTCGATTCAACCTATTATAATTTTACCATTTATTACGAAAAAGCAAGCTAATTGAAAATTCTAAATTTACAATTCTATTTTTTGATGCGAAATTTCGTTTCACGATTATATCCCCGCCAGAACATATAAAAATAGTTAAATCAGTTCGTATCCACGTTCACTCAAAACACAAACTCTCCCTATTATTAAAGTAGAAGGCTACTTCAACAAACAAGTTTTTAATCTGTAATAAAAATAAAATTTTCTTACCGCAGGTAGGAATATCTTCTGTCCATTTAATTGTTTTTCCTTTTCTTGCACAGGCTACGCCATAATTTGCAATAGAGGAACAGTAACAATCTCCCGTCAAGCAAGAACACATGTCTTCAACGCATTCCCTATAGTAAACATGCGGGTCGACCGATATGTGGCAGGCTGTCGAAAATCATGTTTGCATTAGAATCCAACACGTAGCAACGTAATAAGAGTTTACTAATAATAATTATAATTCGTTAAATAAATACGAACTACTCACAAATAATAAATAACTCTCTTAATATCAAATATAATGAATGTCTCACAGGTTTGTGTAAAGAATTTGATGTGGAAATGATACAAATTAATTTTATAATATGCATGTAAACATTTTCAGTCATTCGTTAAACAAATCCGAATGTAATACTAGGATGATGCGAGTGACATGCTATTAATCGGTATCGATACAACACGACAATTTAAACAATGTAGAGTAAAATAACCTAACATTATACCTTAAACATTGTCATTTACATATACGTAAATAAAGATACATACAGGTAATAAAACCTACATGTATACGTTAAATTTTTAAAATTTCTTTTACTAAGAACAAAAAATTTTCATAACTGTATGTTTACAAAGTGAATTTCATTCAGTTAATTGATGAAAGTGGAACATTATGATTTCGAGGTAAAATAGAAACTGAAAAAATGCACTAGTACAGAGGAATTTTTCTTAACGATCAGTAATTTTTATAAACCAATTTAAAAATCTGAAGAAAACATATTCTCGTGAGCACAAGTACATAGGGCTCACAAAACTAAGCGAAAAGAATATTATAGTACTGAGTAAACACTTTGGAATAAAATAAAGATGGCAGTAAAAAATATTCCGAAAAAATGAGCAGTGAACAAATACGAGACGAATAATGCTCTAGATAACTTTTTCGTTTCTATTCATTTTTGACTCTTACCACTTCCAAGAGACTACACGAGGACCGCAGTAAAAATGAAAGAGTGATGTGGGAAGGAGCCATAAACATTTATTTACATTTACTTTTGCAGAATATTCAGGATAGTTTTTTTAAACGACTTAATTTTGTTGGTTCGTCTAAAATTTACATTAGAAAATCAAATTTCTTTAAAACAGCAATAATATCATCATGATCTGTAGGTACAGAACTGTCTACAAAGTTGGATTTTTAATATTATCCACTATATATATAT